TGTATGGCTGTTTTCACACCCCAGTGCTGACCTGTGAGGTGGGCTGGGTAATTGTTTTTCACAGAGATGACCATTTCTTCAGAAAAGATGGCCATGTAAGCATAAATTCGCTTTAAAAAAGAAAAGTCTTATTAGTTAGTTGGTTTGCTTTTTGTTAATCAATTTGTTCCCTTTGTGAGACTTAACTGTGTAATGTCATGCAGTATGTTGCTGTAGTTTTACTGACTGATCCAACATTTATAATAGTCAACCGAAACTGAGATAGGATGTTAAGGTCTAAAAGTTCAGATCAGGTTTAATTGGTTGTTTCAGTTAATGGTTTAAAATGGCCAATTGCGTCCCTGTGAGCCATAGCACTGCCGTTCACTAATTGGGGAGATCAGATCATCTCTGTGTATTAATGTATAACTAATTACCTGACCAGAGGTATTACTGCTACAAGTTTGCAGGTATGCTATGCAGCGAGGGTCACTGCCTCCGCACAAGCCTTTATTTTCTCCACTTATTACTACAGTAATGAAGTTAAGCTTTCTTCTCTTCCATCTCATGTTCTGCTCATCTGGAGTCAGTGTGCTGCTGTGTGCTTCTGTGTGCTGCTGTGTGTGTCTCTGCCTATAATGGCTTTTAGTAAACGCTTTTGCTGTCAAACATGACATAAGTCATTGTAATATAGTGTACATTTGGGATGAAATTATGTTAAAAACAAAAACGATTTTTTTTAACTTTAAACGTAAAATACTTGCTGCTACCCATTCGACATGAAAAAGTTTCCTACTTGTTTTATGACTGTGGAAGGCGGATGACTCGACCACATTGTAAAAAGGTGAATCATTGACAACAAGGCTCGTCAAAGACAGCAACATAATTTACAGACAATGACAGGCCCATGACATCCTTTACACGGCAGTAACAGTTATTAGACTAAATGTTCATGGCAACACAGATTGCCCATTAACAGAAGAATAGTGTGCTTTATTGTTATGTTGCAGCACGTGTGAGCATTTGTGAGTTTGTTGGCTCTGGGCCAGGGAACCTGTTATTTGGGCAGCCCTCTCTTTTTCCCCCTCTCCCTCCCTCTCTCTCTCTCCCTCAGCCGCTAGGCATTTGAGAACTAGAGTACTTTTACACATAGTTAAACCCTGAACAGTCCAAAACTCAGCCTGCAGGCGCACAGGCTCACATCGGATCAGGATAACAGGACTGCCATCTGCTGGTCATGCGGGGGAATGTGTTTTGTACACGAGTAAGGAAGTGGGGAGGATGGGTGATCTCACTTTACAACATTTGAAGTCATCATTGCTGACATCAGAGGAGATTGGTGTCAGCGCCTGAAATCTTTCTGTCAATCAGCCAAACACTTTGTCTATCAGATCAGATGCCTGAATCGTTTGAGTACATGCTCAAATTCGATTTGCAAAACAAACCTGAATCTTCTGCAACAATATAATCTCCTCAACAGGACGACGAGTCTCTGTGTTTGTTTGTGTGTTGGCTTTCTTTTGGCATTTTAAAACCTCTCTTCAAGTGTTTATAAGTTCAAGTTTGTGAGCATGTCTTGGGTGTGCAGTTCTCTCAAAAAATCCGATCTGGAAGACCAAGCACGCCTGTCCATTTTTTTCATCATTACCAAAAAAAAAAGTTTCTCCACCATTTCTAAAACAAGAAAGGAGTGCAACCAGAAGTACAAAAGCCCTGGGGCAGAGGCTAGATGTTCCTCTCAGCTGAATATGCAACACTCCTTTGGCTTTGTTCAAAACCACTGGACCAAGAACGAGTCTTTGGCCTCTTCACTAGCAACAAAACAGGCATCTTTGCCTCTTTGCTTTTCCTTATTGAAGACCAACCAAAGGAAGGGAGGTGACTGGGAGGAGGTAGAGAGAGAGGGGGCAATGGAGAGAGAGAATTGGGATGAGAGGAGGGAGGTGGGTGGGTGGGGCGCAGCTTTCGGACCCTCATTTACCCTGTCAGCCCTCCTAGCAGGGGATAGTGTTCAGGATCTATTGATCACAACTCAGTGGAGCAGTAATCCTACAGACTTGATTGATTCCGACTGTTGCCTAGGCCTCACTGCACTGCCCAATCCTCCCACCATGCTTTCTCTGGTTCCCAATCCCTCGTTCCCTCCCCTCCATCTCTCATAAAGCATTGATATGCATGACGGCCGAGGGGCCCCATGGAGGAGTGATGCAGGGAGGATTGGAGGGACGGGAGTCGGGGCATTAAGTGTGTGTACACTGCAACAGGAAATAGCTGGCGAGGTGACGGGTGCCTTGACACAAGACGGGGCCCTGAGGTGTCTTTGAGCTGCCTGGCCCCTGATCGCTCCCTCGCTTTTGTATCGCCAAAACTGATGAGTCAACCACTCTGCACTTGCCCTCTTCTGGCTGGTCAGCGGAAGATACGTTTTTCTCGTCTCAAACTAGAGTAGACTGATTGTTGAATGACTGAAGTTGCTTTTCCTGGCAACCTTTCTCTTTTGTATACTTGTTTTCAGTAAGAAATACACTTGCTGGAGTTGTTTGGACAACGAAATAATAGCTAAGAACTTCATTAATTCAGTCATAAGCCAAGTGATAATGGAAAGCTTACCATGAAATGTACAAACCAATGACAAGTCATCCACACATTTTGTGCGACATTTACTGTATCATATCGTAATACAACATTAACAACTGCCTAAAACGGTGATTGTGGGACTGATTTATTCATAGTTTATATATTGTATGGCCTTTATTCTAGATGATAGTTTCGTATATTTCAGCAATGTGATATAGTGTAAAGCTTAAAATAAGGGTTTATCGGCATCCATCTAAGAAAAATAACTAGTTCACAGGTTTTGATTTATAGTTGAATTTTGAAATACGCCCTTTAAGTGTACCACCACAACATTAGATAGATGTACAATACATATTTTGTCTTATAATACTGTATCACAGGCGTGAGTACAGACTTGTAGATCAGTTTATTTAAGCACTTTATTATTAGTCTGCCCTGAGCATATTACGGGGAGTGATAACTCTGCCTGCACGAATTTTGTTTAGTCTGCTTTGCACCTCGACAACAATGCGCCTGTATTTATCTGTGTTTGTGTAATGTTGGCCACGGGGCCGCCGTCAGGCAGCCCACAAGTGTTTCGGGGAGTCCTCTGTAGGTTTCCGCAACGACTTTTCAGAGAGGCTGACAGCTGCAGAGGGAGCTGGCTCGGTCCTGCTTCTCTCCCTGGCAGCGGCCCGTGCCAGGGTGGAGGCTGGTGCGGCTGAGCTCTGCCACACACTACAGAGAGGGCAGAAATCATCCTCACACCAGAACATACACAGATAAACATGGGCACTGAAACAATGTACAGAAAGCAGATTTAAATTCCATACAGAGAGAACAGGCTGTAAAGATTTCCCTGTATTCATTGCAGAAGTGGTATACTAAAATCTAGTTAAGAGATATAATATATTTGCATTAGGACCTAAAAGACTGAAGAAGTCCATTCGATAACAGCAGAGCGGAGACATCACATGTTGACCTTGTCGTAAGGTTTTCCAAAAGTATGATTGAACATGCTTTCAGCAAATTTTAAGCATAATTAAAACGTACAATATGAGAAGTGGCGGTGCTTATGAACGCCGCTCTGGAGAGCTGGAACAAAACCTTAAAAAGGCCTAATCATTCCATACACATAATTCATATGGTTCAGTTGATGGTACCATATGCTATAGTGTTCATTTCTGTGTCATGGTTTCTGGATGTAATGATACTCAATTAAAAAGCCATATGCGATGACATTCTTGAATCATTAAGGTCTTTTTGACATTTGAAAACCCTTGTTCCTTACCCTCGAAGTGATGTCTTTTTCAAGGCTTAATCACTTCCAACCTCTCAATGAGTGAGTTTGAACTAAGTAATAAAGAACTGATGGGGAGACTCTGTGATGTTTTCAGGCAATGGTGTTAGATTTTACCACTGTCTCACTATATAGTGATCCATTCCCCAATGTAAAAAAGTAATACTGTCAAGTGTCCTTATATCGGTAACACCCTATAAGTTGTTTTTATCTCTTTGCTCTCCACCTGACAGCTCCGTCCTGACTTATGCTCAGGTTGATTCTGAGACCTGAGAATATTAACATCTAGGCTGAGTTAGTAAATCCTCAAAATCATTTTTTTGGCTTCCTCCTGCACACAAGATATACCTTTCCCTGTATGCTTTCCTCTAGGCAACTCTCTTTCCCCCCTCAATCCCACAGTTGTTACTCTCCTTACAACCATTCAGTTTTGCTCTCTCCCTTCCAGCCCTCTCAGAGGTTCTGGTATTAGGGGAACTCCTGAGGGGGATTTTCCCTGCTTTAGACTGTCAGTATGGCCCTTAAAAACGGTCTACTGCCAAATACACCAGTGCTGGGTATACAGGCTAACACATGTTACACAGTATAAGAACAGTTTACAGGGTTCCTACAGTCATTAAAAACCTTAAAAAGTCATGGAAATTCTAAATGCAAATTCCAGGCCCTGGAAAAGTTATGGAAAACAATATTTTTCCCAAAGTTTTGGAAAAGTCATGGAAATTTAACTAAAGTTGCATCAAATATAATTTATATTTTATCTAATCGCCGAAATAGTAATACTATAATGATAATAAATACTGTATCGTAAAGTAATGAAACGTAAATTAGCATTTAACTGACGAGGTATTTTGCTGGTGAGAGATTTGAGTTGCTTTAGCGTGTTGAAGCTAGTAAGCCTACTATTTGATTTGTTTTAGATAGGCACAACATGTTTCATATGCAGACCTTATTTTCCTGTTCCATGTTAAAATAAACATTTTTCAGTGGTACCGCTGAGAAAGAGTNGGTCACTCATTACTGGATCAGTGAGCTGCCTGCATGAGATTGATACTGACGGGCTGTCAGGGGAGAGAGAGAGAGAGAGAGAGAGAGAGAGAGAGAGACTACACATACCACATAGTCTTAACAACCTCGATCGCATGTTGTTGATTTGGTTCCAGATCATACAAGACTGGAAGTACGTAGCCATGGTGATTGACCGTCTGTTCCTGTGGATCTTTATCCTGGTGTGTTTGACGGGAACGCTCGGGCTCTTCATGCAGCCGCTGTTCCAAGGCCACAAACCCAACGCTGATGACACAGAGTGAGTCACATACACATAACGTTTGCTTTGGCGATAACCAATAGCATGACACTTCACTTTGTATTCTAGCAGTTTTTCAGGTAGCACGCCATATTTGAGTTAATTTGCAAAACCTTACAGGGTCAAGTCATACTCCAAATGAATAATCAACACTAGTTTAATTGATATATCCAAGACCAGTGTTCTCGAAGTGTGGTCCGCGTGAGTATAATTGGTAAAATGTCACATTTGAAATAAATAAATAAATTTAAGTTTTCGCTGGAATATCTCCGCATTTAAATCAAAACAATAGTCAACCCTGTATAAGTTATTTTGGTCATTTTCACTACTTCAATATTGCACTTAATTTGAAACTTTAATCAGAAATACATTATATCTGCATATCTGCTTCTATAAATCCTTTGTTTTTGTCCTTTTATAGATATGGAGATTTCTAGGACGTTTGGAGATGAACTATAACAACTTTAACTGAGAAGCTGCACCAGGTCTAGCTCTGATCTGTTTTTTGCTGGTTGGATCCGACAGATTGCAGGCAGTTGGTTGTTTCTGAAACAGTGGACCTCAAACAAACCGAATGATACAGGGACACTTTTATTTTTTTTACTGCATGGCTTTCATTTCTAACCAACTATGCATCCATCCAAGCGCTGCCATCACCCCAGGCATGGCAATATTTTATTGACTCTCTTCTAAAACCTAAAAAAGTATTCTGCCAAGATTATAATATTGTCATTTAGCCGAGATTGCTCCCCATGCCATTTTTGAAACTACCCACAAGACAAGTACGGTCTTTCCCAGCTCTAATTTTTCCCAATGTAAAGAAAAACTAAAAAGCCAATGTAAAATGCTGTTAATTTGTCTGTGTTTCATTTTGACTAGTGTGCTGCTGAGGGAACAGTAGGAGCTCTTTACAGAAATACAGAGGGTCATTACACATTATAGCTCCTATACGACCATGAGGTCTGTTCTCCCTTGCAGCTCTGTCGATGTGAAAATCAGACAATAAAAGACTTAACACAAATTGTTCATGTTGGCACATTAAAGTGGATCCAAATATCCTTTTTCTAAAATCAAGCTTTATTGCTAAAACTCCACCCAAATATCCACCTTTTCTCGTCATATTATCTCTCGCTCTGTTCTTCCCATGTTCTGCTTTAGAGCCTCATCTGCACCAGCCACCTCCAAGGACGGTCGTAATCATTGTCCTATTTTAAATAATGTGTATTCTCTTCTTGCTTTCTCTTTCCGTCTTTCACTTGCTTGGTTATACACACATTTTGTTTTGTTTATGTGCCATATATAATCACACATGTAGCTGTACAAGGCTACATACATTATCATGAAAAAAATGACACTGACTGTATTGAAATACATGTTAAATAAATGACTCTTTATTTTATGTGTTTGGCAAAGTTGTTTATTGTCACATGTTCCCCAGCTTCTTCCTCACATTTTGGATCGTACCAGTGGTTTTGCACAGCCAAGAACATCAATCAATCAAAGTAATCAATACAACACTTTATTAATCCCAGGGGGACATTCCATGTATTGACAGTTGCATTGCATTAGATTACATGACATAGTTATATTGACATAAGTTCAATTAAAAATGTGCAATAAAAGTCCTTGTAGCCAAAGAAACAAAACGTTTTGGGCACAGCGTCTGAGGAACAGGAATAAGCACAGAGACACTGACTCAGGTTCATGGTGAAGACTCAGGTTCATGGTGAAGACANTTGAACTTATATATTTACTAAACTCAGGGTTCATACACTTTTTCACCAATGACTTTTCCATGACTTTTGGTCATGGAAAATTAGGTAAAGGTCATGGAGAAGTCATGGAAAAGTCATTGGTGAAAAAGTGTATGAACCCTGAGTTTAGTAAATATATAAGTTCAAAATGCCTTGTTTTTGCTTCACAATACAAATAGCCACCCTCATTTGTCAAAGCAATATTTAAAAATCACAGTTCATGTGATACATGTTTATTTGGTTTCTTTAAATGGTCAATTTTAACAACGTAATAATGATTAAATCTTGCTTTTTTTTTTGCTATGCCAAACATCCAATGTTTGATGGACACGAGAATATTCCTTTTAGATTTGTTGGCATAGGCAGCAATAGTTTTCTAAACATAAGCAGTAAAACTGGACAGATTGAATTACACAAATATCCACCATAGAGGAGCAAGCAAGGCAAATAAACATTGTGATGAATAGACCAGCTGTTACTTCTCCATACACATATATGAGCAAATATACAGTATATTGAGAGAATCGTATTTTACATTATATATCTTTATCAGAGAGTCTTCATTTCTTAATCAAAATCTAGAATTAAAACTATACTATATGTTAACCCTAAAAGCAGAGAATCAAGCCAAAGTAATAGATTGTCCCAAACACAGAACATTATGCTTCTCAGTTCACTACACATCACATTTACTTGGGTTGTTATGAATTATGTCAATTACTTTCGGCAAGCTATGCTTCTCAAATGCAATTTGTATGTAAGCATTAATCCAGAGTGCACTGCATTTAGAAGCTTCTCTCCCACCAGTGGCCCTTTGGATGCCTCTGGCTCTTTACAACCTGCCCATCTGGAAGGACATAAAGCTGCATGGCATAACTCTGTACTACTGTAGTTTGGAATATGCCCAGATCTGTTCCCTCGTGACTGGAGAAGCACGACAACAAGTTTTTACTCATTCATTTTGCCAACATGACCACTATAAATGGAGCAACAGTGCTGTGAGATCAGATGACAAGAGGAGTGAAAACTGTAGCTGTTCTTGTTGCATATAGCTTCAAATTCTGAATAACCGAACATTTGTCTTCATTAATAAAATCCACGCTGCCACACCCAGTGACAACGGATTAATCATCCTGCTGCATCACGTCTCACTTTGAAACCCAACCTTTCATTGTTCATTACTTTACCACCACTCTCAAAACAGCCCTTTACCAACATTTACAGAGAAGTCACTGATTCTGTTAAACACTCTATCTCGCATCTCCACTCAGGTAGCCCATTGTAAAGTCTTTCCATACACCTGCTATAAAAACAACAACAGGCATCCACACATTTGGCTGATAATGGGATCCATAGTCACCTTTGTCAGCACCTGATTGTTAGTCTATTACCAAAATATTTGCAAGTGAATACAGGCACTGAGAGCAAAGACAGTAGAATGACAGACCGGCCTCGGGCAGCTTATTTTTATGGCTGACAGCTGATGGTCACTCCCTGGTAAATGTGCTAACGAGGTGATAGAATTCTCGACAAAAGCAAAATAGCACTTCAGCCCTCTTCCAATACAATAGCTGACTCCTCTCTTTCCTTTACAAAACACCTCACAGATGGATAAGCAACAGTTTCGCAATTACTGACGACCGGGTGTGGAGGGTTTGCATTGGCCTTCATGACAATGTCTTCCACAGATGTAGGCTCTCCAAAGTGCTGATTTATAGGAGTTTGGCATCTGCTACATTTGCATGGGGTTAATCTCAAACGGTTAAAGAAGAGAACTCAAGTCCCCCGTGGCCTGAAAAACAAGGTTTGATATGCAAATGACATCCCCTTAGCCCTCACAAATTCAAAACTCTCTTCTCTTCAATAAAGTAATTGTTACTGTTGCTGAAGCATGTAAAAATATATTTATATGAAAAGGAATGCCAGCAAATGAGGCTGGGATGAGTCTTGCTGGAGTAGTCATTTTTTAAAGGCTGCACGAGGAAAAAATAAGTCGAGATTCCTCACTTCAGTAGTCTCACTCTTTTTGAACAACAAGCAGAGCATTGTGCTTTTCTAATGCCGTCTCTGTGGACTTAATACTTGTTATTTTCTCCCTCTCCTTTCTCTCTCACTCTCCTTCCACCTCATATTCCCAATGCGATGTCTGTGCTCTTGCATCTGTAATCACAACGTTACCTCATTGGGGGCTGCCTTTGTAGCCTGTGTGTGTAGGTGCGCGTGAAGGTGCGCACGTGTGTTGGTGTGTGTGCATTTTGAGGTTCTGCTGGGGGCTGCGAGGAGGCTTAGCAGCGCACTGGGTTTCAATGGGAGCCCACACCACTGCTCTGCCAGTTCTTATCTCCTCCCATGCAGGAGAGCGGTGGCATCAAGCCGGTGGCTTATTAGAGAGGCAGGGAACGTATCCCAAATCCACCCCCTTGCACCCACCCCCCACACACTCACAATGAGGCACACGGCGGTGTGTGGACCTATGTTTCTATCTGAGCCCATGGCAGGGCCCATGAGGGGAAAGTATGTCTAGGCACACAGTGAATGTTTATCGCTTTTGCTTTTGTGTTGATGATGCAAAAATAAATTGCGATTTGGAGAACGAGCAGCAGCAGGAGGAGAAGCCCCGCCACTTTATGTCGGCAGTGGAAGCACTCTGTTGTGCTTTAGGGTTGTACTTATAGTGATCAAGCAGAGAGAAAGGGAGCGGCAGCAAGCGAGACAGAGTAATAAGAAATACATTGTTTTTATATTGTTTTCTCTGACAGACGAGATGGCATTAGCGGTGATTTTGCCGTTATTGCTGCTGCTGTGGGCTGAGGTGAAGTATTATGTGGGAGGTAAATGAGTGGAATCTGGACATTACAGTTTTTACTCTATTCTGCTGTTGGTAATGCCTTCATTTAGGAGCTGCACCTCTGCCATTATGCCTCGGCACTGTAGAATTTGAATCACAGAAAGGGAGGCCAGCAGGTTCTTTCAAAGGCAACATTAAGGGCCCTGAACACAAACATCGACCATTTACCTGCAATCAAACACAATCTTACTTGATCTATTATTTTGTCTTCACCCCTGTCCACTTACCAGGATAATTTCTGAGGCCCTTTTATCCCAAACTGCATGGTAGCAACAGGAGATGAATTTATTTTAATTTCATCACTTTCCACTGGGTTGAAGGCACTTTGTGTGTGTGTGTGTGTGTGTGTGTGTGTGTGTGTGTGTGTGTGTGTGTGTGTGTGTGTGTGTGTGTGTGTGTGTGTGTGTGTAAAGGACGATGAGTGCATGTTCGAACACGGAGCCTTGAGACGTGTGTATTAATCTTTAGATTTGACTTCCTGTGAATATGTTGCTTTCCGTGGCTTTGTGTGTGTGTGTGTGTGTGTGTGTGTGTGTGTGTGTGTGTGTGTGTGTCTGCATATTCAAGTGTGGGAAGATAATATTATGCATTTGCATGCAGTGCTTCATTGTGGGAGAATGTCATTGATTTATAACCGTGATGAAAGGTCAGTTCACCTTATTAAACAACACATAGGTATACTGCTGCATAGTATCGGATAACCATTAGAAGCCAATCTGTCCATTCCCACTGTGACTGGTGGAGGCATTAAGGTCTCGGGTAAAAAACTGCATATAAATCATCTTTAAATGAGTTTGTTTGGAGAGCATACACCTACATTATCTTGTAAACTTGCCTTGCATTCTAGTTTATTACAATATTCTGATCTTTCAGCTTACTCTTTTGAACTGTTTTATGCAATCTCATTTCCTAGAATTGATTTAATTCCTATGTTAATTTCCCAGCGCTGTGTTGTTAAAAGTGTGATTGTACTCATGGAGACATTTACACAGCTTATTCACAGAGTTGCTTTCAGAGATGTCCCCCATGTCCACTTATTACCCTTATTATGTCAAGACAAAAGTGAACCTAAGGGGCATCTGAGACCGGCTGTCAGTGAGCGTGCATTCAGCATCCATCCAATCATCTGTCTGATGTGGGCTCACACACAACTCTCTTCACTCTCCATCTACCAATCCATCCATTTCTCACCCTTGCCGTGTCCCTCCCAGTTATTTTGTGTGATTAGGCATTGTTTAAACTCAGCCCTGCCGGCTGATTGCACATGCACTCTGGTTTCAAGAGCACCATCTCCTCTCCATTGGCTTTGTTGTCGATAGACATTAGCATGTGTGTGGAACGTTCCGGGGCCCTCTTCTAATCGAGTGAATGGCGACAGACCTCACACAGCTCTCATGATAGTATTGAGGTATAGCTTATGTGGGTTGGACAGATACACTAGCACGTGTAACATGTGTGTACAGAATGTGTAGGAGTGCCTCTCTATATCTTAGCAGCAGGTGTTTTTTGATGGTTAAACAAACATATATGTTTATATTTGCATACATGCCCATGTGATGTGCACTGCGGCTGTACATCTGTGTCTTAATATAACTGCATGTGGCATGCATGAATACATACTTGCCCCCCCTTGTCTCTCACTAAATGTTAAATAACTAGTTGTACTTCCACCTAAGGTCTCCTGACAGGTGCAAGCTAATGTTCAGAGCAGAAAACAGATGCAAAGAAGCTTGACTTGGCAGGTGACAGACAAACAGACGGGCAGACCAAATATAAAGGAAAACCATCTGGGCCTGCAGTTTCTCCCCTTCAGCCTTTAGAAGCCTTCAGAAGACTGCCTGTGCCAGTCGCTGCTGGGGTGTGGCCTGGACCGAGAGATGGCACAGAGTGGATGATGAGATGAGGGATTCGGGCCCTAGCCCGGAGCTGCTCTGGAAGGGGAGCAGAAGAAAAGGCACCAGCAGGCCCTGGAGGTGATCCAACAGGCGCTCTCATCCTCTCAACTGTTGCAAAAGGATTGGTGGTTAGTGGGATAATCCACCGTCGTGGACGCTTCAGATAGCTGCCTCCACATGTGAAAAAGGAAGAGAAAAGAATAGTATAGCCAACCGGCACAATGAAAGTCTTACAGTGAATGAACATGTGCTTACAGAAAAGGCAAACTCTGCCAAAATGATATAAACAATTACAGCACAAGGTCTGGTTTTGATTATTTTGTGTGGATGATGTTAATTTTGATTGACTCATTCATATAGCTTACTAAGCTGTCATTACATGCAGTTCATGTCTAACCTATATTTCATTTAAATGGTTTGTACCATAGCACAAAAACATACATACTTTTTATACATGGTACATCCTTAGAAGTCATGCTTATAGGGTAACAGTGCTTGTGATGGTGTGTGGGTAGCGCTGCTGGATTACCAACAATGGTGTTTAAACCACGGCCATTTATTCATCTTGATCTCTTTACCTGGCCCTAACCCCTGCTTGTGAAAATATTTTCTAAATGCTGCTTCTATAGCTTGGCTAAAGCTACGGTTGGTATTGGTAATGTATTTTAGAATGTTTTTCCCCATCAACAAAGAAAAAAATAATGCTCTGACATGAATAGAACAAAATTATCCCAAATGAAACCCATCAAAATGTGTTTTGTGAATCCCTTGAGTCTTACAAACCTGTTGAATTCATTTCTTGCCTCATAAAACGTGCAAATTACTGAAAGATGAGCAAATTGCAGGGACAAAACAAAGTTGAAGTTTGAAGTTCCGTCCATAAATCATTGCTTTATAGTGATACCAGTGTTTTAAAAAAAGTCAACAGGCTGCCTTTAGTAGGCAGATAATGTTATATGTTGTGATCTGACCTATATTGGTCAAATAGCGTACTGCAGCTTTAATGAACGATGCTCATTTAAAACCTTATATCCACCTTTTCAAACACGTAGTCCTTGGCTCATGGGGTCTGTTTTACCTTTCCTTGGTCACTGAGTTTATTTGATCCCATTTCTGTTCAAGGGCACAACTAGATAATGCTCCTTATACCCGGTACGCAGCAGATGGGAAAGATCCAGGCTGGCACCACCCCCGTTACCGCAGGGTCATCCCAACCATTAGACCACCAACATCAGGTCACTGCTGATAGGAGATGTCCACCAAGTGTTCAAGGAATGCAGAAATGAGCCAAGACACTTGAGAGGGTGCCAGCTCGGCCGGGAGGTTGGTAGCGGCAAAAACGTGTTTGGAATAACTTGAGATACGGTTACATTTGCCAGAAGAGAAACACTTTTAGATCTATAGGAAAGGAAAAAACATGGAGATAAAAGGCCAGATTCAAAGATGGCACTAGTGGTCCTGCAAATAAAAACAATTAAGACCTCCATAATTCTAGTACAAGACCACTCCTTACATCCACATTAAAAACTCCAAGCTAGACTCGCCAGCTGACTCAGGTTTTACATTGGAACAAGGCCACATGTGTTTCCAGGGGTTATAGCATTTGAATGTTGGCAGTAGAAGACCCTTTTCTCGACTGCAGACATTTGGACCCATCATTGAGCAGAAGCCCAGCGTGGTAACTAATAACAAATAATGAATGATGTGTTCCATTCCATTTATCTGAGCATCACACAATGGACAGGTCCTGGCTCACCCTCGTAAATTACACCTGTCGAGTGAATAAATGACAGTAATGATACACTGTGTAATGTGTTACATTAAGGTACCTTTTTCCCTTAAAGGACCCTATTAATTACTTAAAGTGGACCGTATCATGGGCGGTATATTTTGGAGGGATGGGAGATAGTATGGGTGGGAGGCCAGGGTACCTATATAAGGGAACGATGTCTGATGGTTTTTTTTTGTGGTGTGCAAGGGCAAGTACCAAAGCGAGATCGGATGGCGGGATTTTAGGCCATGCCTCAGCTTTTGCTCTATTTGCCTCTATTCCAGCCCTGTCTTCACACACAAGGCTGATTCTGTGGCAAGAAGTGAGCTGCCAGCTGGAACACGGCCCCCCTGCAAAGGAGGGGGGGCGAGGCACGAAGCGTCATGTTACCATGCTGTTATCATGCCACGCAACCTCTCATTCCCCTGATAGGTGGAGAGTTGCCCGTATAGGCGGAGCTCCTTGTTTCTGACGTCAGAACAATTTCAAATCTGTATCAGTCTGTATCAGATCCGTAGCAGCCCCGTTTTTAGAGATTTTGGTATGGAGGAAAAGAGAGAGGGTTGTGTTTTCTGACACTTGGTGAGTTCCCTGACACACCGGGGACACATATTCATGTATAAAAGACGTACAAAAGTGCATTTTGCATGATAGGTCCCCTTTAAGATATTAACCCACCTTAAATTATCCCCATTATTCTTAGCAGCCTGTACTGATATTATTCAATTAGAGAGAAAATATAGCCCTCTAGCCTGCATATTGTTGATAAATAAGATTATCCATTACTCCATCATGACATTTGCTTTGCCCCATCAGGTTATTAACGTTTATTTCACTATGCTTTTATTTTAATTATCCTTTTTCACATGACCTAGCACCTAACTCCATTTAAATACAGCTCATTACCTATAAAACCCCTGGTAATCCACCATGTGTATCTTTGTATCAGCACATGTTTAGTTTAGTTAAATCCTGAAATTCACAGAAAAATTACCCACGACAGCTCATCGTGTGTAGTGGTAGTGAAGTCCCTGGTCAGGTTGCAGATAATCGGTTAAATAGGTTGGGCATCATGGGGAAAAATGGCTTTCTAAACTGATGGCTTTGTTGCTGTTCCCTGTGGCAAGTTATATAGCTTTCATATGTCATTTATGGCTCAGTTGCACATTTTTTCCACAAAATATGTATGTCCTAAATAGATATGCCAATTACCCTAATGGAAACCAGGAAGCGTGACTGCTTCAATTAACAGGCCTGTTCCCGTTTCATTTTTCCTGCAACACCTCACAGAGTTTGGTGATGAAACACAATGTATTGTGGCGCTTATATGATGTCCGTTCTTCAGCTGGAAATTAAATGTTCCTTTTGCCTCAAACTGATCTGACACTACGACAGAATGATGTTACCAACAACACATCTACTCCAGGGGCATCAAATTACAACAGGCTTTTGCAAAGGCACGGCGTTTCTGTGTATCTCAAACATGTTGGTGCTAGTGTAATTGGATTCAACACCATGTGAATGAAACACCGTATCAACCAGGGCTCTGCCTCAGTAAAAGTGGTCACAGTATGGTGACTATATTATATAGTGCGTCAAAGTTTCCGTTGTGTGTAATTGGGCCCTTTTATGATACAGTAGACAAACAAGTACACAGACACTATCACACATACTAATAATCACAGCTATGGCTCTCTTTGTACATTTGTTATTACTATTAGCAGTCAAAGTTAACACCGTTAGAGAGAATATGGCTGCCGTTAAAAATAGTAGAATTTACATTTATCTTGGATTTACAGCAGGAGTTACACATGCACCTTTATGGTCCACTAGTATTTTTCTTCCCTCTAACAAGCACCAGTTATCCTCTCTTCCTCCTCCTCTCCCTTCCTCTGTCTCCTTGTCCTTGTGGCTAATTTACGATTTTGTTAGTAGGCTAGGCAGGCTACTTGACTTACGGTAACCAAAACATATTTCCTTTTTTTATTTAACTCTATATGCATATTTAGCAATTATGGACAGGAAGAGTTCCCAGTTTTTTCAACATTTTAAGCTGTGCTGAACTGTAATCAGCTGGTCCGGCGCTCTTGGCTTTATTTTGGAGGCTGTGTTTTCATGAGGAAACTAGATTTGGCTCCCTGCCCGTTTCCATTCTCCTGTTTCTGCGAGTCGACCGGCTGTTATGACTGTCAGTCATTTCCCAACATAAAGGGGCTCATTTGAAAGCGCTCAATGCAAATCTCGTATCTTACATGAAACAGTCTTGATTTATTTTCCCTAAGCTTTTCTTCCCAAGTCTTCAAACAACCTCCGAATGTAGTCCTCGCACCCCCTCAACACGCACCCCGCCGTGGCTGGAATCACGCCTTTCAACATCCAGTCAAAGGAATGGAGAAGTGCTCTGAGGACAGTTGCCACAATCCTCCAGCAACTAAACCCACACCCACCCACCCACCCTTTTTCCTCCGGTCGATATCTGCCCACAGCAGGTGCCGTGCCGTGCCGAGCCCAGAGATAGCAGTGATATTAAAAAATAAGTATCTGGAACTTCATTTATACTCCGCTCACATAACTGTCATTCGTCTTATTCTGGGCAAAGCTGGATGACACTGCTTATTATCTGCAGCTGTTGTGTCTGTGTTGCTGGATGCCTATTTCTCTTTTCTGTTGATGTCTGAGAGATCGAAATCTTTCACTCTACAAACACTGACACTGAATAAACAGATCCAGTATACAGTGTGTCTGCCTAGCTGATGTTGAGGATACATCTCTATGCTGCAAGTTCACTTCTTCACCTTTGCATGTAATCCTTTCCCCCCTACTGGAACAGAATAGCCCCCTCAGTGGTATGACTGTCTGTGCTGGGTGGAGGACATTTGCCAACACGTTGTCTGAAACTGCCATCACAAGAAGTTGGGATGCCTAGCCTCTTGCAGGATGGCATTGTAGGACACTCACCGCATCTGTGCCAGACGAGGCAGTGGGAGCCACCATGAGGCAGCTGTGACCTTGCAAACAGAAGCTCAGAGTCTGAGCCAAAACCTCACCCTCCTTCCCCATGGTGACGTCCAGTGTGCCAGCAACGCCAGGTGCCCCTCCAGAAGTGTTTGTGGGGTTTAGTATGGAGCTGTGGTCTGGCATTAAGAGCACGGGAAAGACAATATTGACTGATTTTCTGGTTGATAGTTCAATGATTTTCAGATTTTCTGTAGACATCTGTTGACTCGACAATACTTCTGGGTAAATAGACTTGGCTTTAATGATGTGTGTGCATTTTATTCTTCCTGCTTATATTCAAAATGAACACATTTTCCTTTCCAATAGTTGGCATTGGGGTTTTTAACTTAAATAAAACTTTTTATTTATTTATTTTCAAGCCACTTGGGCATTGTCTTCAAGCCAATTCTACAGTGGCTGGATATTGCCTAGTTGGAGCGTATATCCCACAGCTTCAGCCTTGAGATCTCCATAATCACCAAACCTCCCACTGTGAAAAGATTATCAAAGAACGCATGTAGCAAGTCATCTCTCACCACAGAGTCCTCCAGGCTAAGAGGGAAAACATGCATACATCAAGTAAAACATTGCCGAACATAATTAGCTACCTTATTCCAGTGGTCACTAGAACCTTAAAATCAATGCTAACATTAGTTAAACAACAGAACACACACAGCTCAGTGCATGCCTATGGTGAAAACAGGTTTCTGAGTCAAAGGGAGAGTAATTGCTTATCTGATTTTAGCATCTTGTCTTGCATTATATATCAAGCCATTGTTGCTGTAAATAGAAGCTGCATTAGTTCTTAACATGGTTCCACAGCTGCCCTTTTTAAGCAGACTTTTTTCCAGGGAAGAAGGCAAGCGTGTTCCCCAAGCTGCAATTGTGGTTTTCGAAGTAATGCGGCACAGGCTCCCAGCCAATAAAATTTGGTTTCAGAAAACGTTTGGAACATAGAGTTCATAATCACTCACATGTTTATCGCATGAGTTACGCAGCATGGTAGGCTTCTCTGTTTTAACTTTTCTAGCTTGTCAGTGTTGGTTCGTTTGCATAATGTTACAATTAGCTTTAGTGAAATTCTGTGAGAGAGAATGTGAAAGAGTAACCATAGACACATGTAAAGGTTGATAAATACACTTAGTGATCTTGAGGTCTTTTTGCTCGGTTTCCTTTTCCACATTCTCCCACATGAAATGGAATAACCTTCACTGCTTATATAACCTTCTGCATTTGATTACCATATTAACGTCCTTAACAGCATGAAGCTAATTTGTGAGCTATGGATGTCTTTGGAGAAGGTCACAGTAATGAAGTGTACACCAAGAACATGATTTCAGCTTCACTTATTAAACATTTGCTAATTGTTTATATTTGCGTGATCAGAAATTGTAATAAGGAAAGAATGCTTTGGCCGTAATGAGCTGTACCTGTAGCTGTCGCCGCACGTTGGCTATCCCACCCCTCTCCTTTCACCGCCAGTGTTTCTAATTATCTCCTTTGACACAAGATACTCTGGCAATTTCACCTTGTTATATTTAAGAGACGGTTGGATGGTAGAACCACGTTTTCTGTGGTGGGACTCTGCTAATGGTCTGGCTTACTGCCTGAACAGCAGACCTCTATACTGAGGGAATTTCAGAAATGTGTTTTTTTAGTTGTATTTTGTTCTTACATTTACAGTGTATTCATCTGTCAGTATAGATTGGTTCATTTGAAAACATTTCACTTTTCAGCAAATGTTACTTACTGGACCATCTATATTCAAACATAGTATACTAGATATCCTTGTTTCTCGCCATGTTTCCTCAGTAAGTAGAAGGCAGTCTATTCTAACAGCCCAACAATAGATCCTGCCTTCGTGATATCTCTTGTTTAAGCTGGAACTTGATTAGGTGGTGTTGAATCAACTTAATGGTCATTTTGATGACTGTGGTGTGTGGTGCTGTTACATTTGTAATGTGTTAAGAGTTGCTTTTAAGGTTAAGTCTAGCCAAATTGATATAAATGATGTTGACAAAATCCTTCAGAATAATGTAATACTATTTAACACAAGAGTGCATTTGTGTTATCTGGGTGTTGCTTTTAAACTACATCTAATAAAGAATTACAATACCATTATAAAATGTTTTAAAATCCCTTCAATAATGGAAATATGTCTCCGCCTTATAACCGAAATGCTAACATATTCTCTTTAATATACAGAAGGCTGGATACATTGTTGTGCATAATCATTAATCAGCTGTTATATTAACAAAGTGCGATCCCACACGTTGATTTAACAAGCTTAAGAATGTCAGTGCACATAGACAGAGATGATGCAATCAAACATCAATGGGTTTTAACAAGAGGCAGGAAATGCAGACTAATTACTAATGCACACTAATTACTAAGTCTCCACTTAATATTGGGGTAACAGTGGTAAAATAAAAAAAAAGACCAAAAGAGATTCATGTGTGCTCATTTTTCAAAGAGATAAATGATGTAGAGACAGACCATGTCACCAAGTGAGACGAGAGCAGACTGAGCTGGGGAGTCAGAGGGGACGTGAAAGAGGATGTCCTTTAAAGAGAGTGTTTTCTTTTTAAACTAAATACATCTTCAAAAAGGAACCCCACAATGTCTTGGTGAAGCCACCTGCACACAGAGGGCAGGCTGCCACTGTTTCAATGGGCGCTGCATGCACACCCCAGCGGGCTTCCAGATAGCGGCTAAAGAGCTTATTTCTCAAATCTCTTTATCCTTTCTAGAACTGTGAGACGTTGACAGAAAGTCAGTTAACTCTAGCCAGTGGCAGCTGCATGGGTTTTGCATAATTAATTATTTATACGGAGCCAGACATAGTAATTACCATCCAGATGAATATGATATTCTAATCAGGCAGGCTTTAATTTTAATTGCCCTCCAGCATCTAACTGTCAGTGCTGGCCTGGCTTGATAAAGTGGAGAGTCTCTAAACACCATTAGACATCTGCTCTGAGAGCATTGCCTCCACTACCCACCAGCCCCACCATCCGCCATAAAAATCAATACAGGACCAGGGTGTGTGCGTGCGTGTGATCACGCTCATTTTTCTATGGAAAGCCATTTTTCGTCAATGACAAAACCGGAGCAGGGCTCCAAGCTACGGAGCCCCCTCCCTGATGATTGATGAGACCTCTAGGATTTTGTTTCTTTTCCTTTCCTTTTTTCATAGATTTTGAGACTCATCTCAATATATTGAATGGAGAAGCTTATCACGCTTTTTTTCCCATCCTCTTCTAAATAAACAGTTTTCTGACAGGTGCACGGGAAAGATGGAAGGACTGACTTACAATATTTGTTTCCTCTCAAATCCTTCTTCAGCAGTATAGACAATAAGATTCAGATTTAGTGGCATAATTAGTGTGACTGTAAAACGAATATTTAATTTTCCCTCAATCACACAAAATCTACAGTTATTTACTTTATAGTAGACGGGTGTTTTTTGAGATTTGCTGAATGTTTAACAGTTATGTGATGATTTACATTTGTGGCTCACCAATATTTCAGATTTGGGAATTTCACATCTAGTGGTGCCCAGCTCTCTGAGACCCCTTGACAGATCTCAGTACAGCAGGCACATAATCCCGACAGCTGTTGCCATGGCAAGGTTTTTTTTGTACAGTTTCCAACCACAATTCCAATAGAAAAACATTATCACACATTTCACACAGATCTTACAGTGAGAGCCTGGGCCAGCTGTATGGATTGAATTGCACACTCCAATTATAAATGTTTAGGGTATGCGATGATATGTGAATATAATATGATTATATTTGACTATTAAAGCGGATCTTTAAATGTATATCAGTGACTAACAGCACACTCTTAACCTTGCGTTAAAAATATATTCACCATCATTAAAAAAAGGATTGTCTTAACACAACCTGATGTGCCTTCTCCCTGCCAGGTGGCTTTTTATGCATCTCCAGTAATCCAGTTATAGGCAGACATAAATATACAGTATATGTGTGTTTGAACAGTTGATTGGGGAAATAGCACTAGTTTGAGATATGCTTTTCTTATACACTGCACACTAAGCTTCTCTGCTCGTGCCTTGTGCCGAGTTAAGCCTGCACCTGCAGTGTTGCACAGAGATGAACTGTGTGGAAATGAAAACACTTAAACTTCTTTGACACAATCTGGAAACGGTGAGGAAACATATGGAATCCACAGTTATTATGGCTGTGCACCTCAAGTGAGAAGATGGATGGCTTCACAGATGTGCCTGACAGTCTGATAAACCCAGTGGCCTCGGCCCGTTTGGTACATTTCCCAGACCCTAAATGAAAATGAGAGATGTTAACTTATATCACGTGCACTGCCTTTTTTTTTTATCGCCTTTATATCTCATTTGAGTGAAACTTTTTGAGCCTAACTGTTCATTGTTTTGAGCATACTGGCTGCCACCAGCAAGAGAAAAAGGAACAGTAATTGACAGCACTTCCAACAATATTTGAGTCCTTCAAAAACCCTTGGTTCTCACCTAAGCCTGCCATTGTTTCTCATCATCATTGTGCATTCACGAAGCGGAGTAACATTCCTCTATGCAGCTTGGCTCAAGGTTTTTTGATCTCCACACATTGCGACTGAGGTGAGGGGAAGTAAGGTCCTCAGATGTCTATGTCTCCTCATGCCCAAAGTTTGAATTTCATTAAAGACCCTCTCTGCTCCCTCGGCTACCAGGAACAAAGCCTGAGCCGGACTCAATGGTAATCCTGCCTGCGAGGCGCCGGTGTCAAAGGTCACTCGTCGCCAGCAGATGAATCCTGTGGTTGGGGTGGCGGAGGCTATGATGGAGAGGAGAAGAAGACAGAGGAGCTCTTTTTCTCAGGTTATCCAGGGAGAATCTAATGAGGAGGATTGGAGGAGAAAGAAGCCATACTGCTGCTTGGGTGGAGGCAAGAGGCGGGCTGCGGGAAAACTTCAATACAGCTGAGAGGAAGATGAGTTAAGAGAGGGAGAAAAATCTAATGCATAACATGAAATAAAAAAAAGTGAGAGTGAGACATAAGGCACAATCAGAGGTTGCAATCTGTGGTGTTGCATGAGAGCCATTTAGTGCCTGAGGACATGCCCACGGCTAATAAAGCTGGAAGTTTGTAGACGCTCTGAC